TCAAAATGTTTAAATCACACTGTACATTTTCCCTAGAGAAAATAGATGTAGTTATCACGTTTGACCTGATCCTGTATCTTTGGCCTTTCCTCTTGCCTTCCCCGTCATTATTTCCATCTCTATCTTTGTCACTCATCCGTTTTTTAAATCCATCCCTTCACTTTCACCCTCGCCTAATCTGCTGATTCTCCTGCTTGTTTCGCTGACCATCTCCAGTTTGAGATCCGGCAGCTGAGGGCCCATCTGGCCCAGCAGGACGTGGACCTGGCAGCAGAACGTGAAGCAGCCATGCAGATCCACCATGTGTGGGGCAAACAGGGCAGGAGTTTTCAGGTGGTGGAAGGCCTGCCTCCTGGGGAGTTTGACGATGAGGGCGGCCAGAGAAACCCCAGGGAGCCACATCCCACAGCAGGTAGAGTTAACGCAGAGTTGTTATGGACAGGCTTGCAAGATATTAAAAGAGTGATTAGATTTAGTAAAATAAAACATCCAAGGTTGATCTGCAACGACTGTCAGAAACAAAGCATTAAAAAAACTATTTACCTTCCCTTCTGAAACAAATGTTTTCTTAAACATGTCCTGCAGAGAGGTTATGAAGTAGGTTACGGTTGAAAACGCTTTTTCTAACACTGAAAATGAATTAATCTAAGCCATAAGCCTGTGGCGTTAAACATCTAGCTCATTTGAATACACAGTATGCCAGGTGCAGTGTGTTTGCTTGAGGAAGCAGCATGACAAACCAGGAGAGAGGTGCAGCATAACGTATGTACATAATAATGTGGAACAAAAAGTCTCTAACAGTGTAACATCAGGTGAACTGGATGCCAGAGCAGTGTACAGTTAATCTGGAGCAGTAGCCCTGGAGCACCTTCGAGGCCAAGCTCTTAGCCCCTCTTCACTCGCACACAACACCCATCTGACCGCAGGCGCTCCGAGATCAATATGAGGGCAAAAAAGCTTTTAGGCTCTGGGGAATCCTGCAGAAAACAAGCATGCTCTGTGACACTGCGTCAGCTTGCATGGGCTTCTGTCATGCCCCAACTATCTCTCTGGGCAGGCTTGGCGAGGCCAGCCGGCCGAGACCACTTGCGCTATTTCAGGTACAGAGTGCTCTGTGCATTGGGTCTTGTTCGGGGAGAGTTGGCTCCTGTCAACATCTGTTCCCCTTCACCTGCAAACCACAATAGGGCACCATGAGGCTCCGCAGCGGCCACAATATTACCCCAAGGGCATAGTGGGAAATCTGGCTCTCAGAAACAAGTGGGGCTTTTTACAGAAACATGGTCACTGGGAGGAGCACTTAGGCCACAGGGCTCAAGTCAAGCTGGGTCAGCTCAAATCAAACCACATTTATTGGTTTTCTTCAATTTGGCACAGTCTCAATGGGCTTCTCTCACACTCACCTGCATGTCGCTATCAAACTATCAAGAGCTGTTATCAAGGCAGTGGGCTTCACAAGAATGATATCTCAGGAGATTAATGTGTATGTCACCTAAAGTACCAAACCGTGTAGACTTTGAGAACAAAGGGACAAATCAACATTGATCAATAAGCTGGTGGAGTTCTCGCTCAGATTCTGAGAGGGTTGTAGGAAAGCTATTGGCTCTGTGAGACTTTCCGATAGCAGTGCTTTGAGCTAAATGGTATCGTGCTTACAAGGACAGTGGTAACATGTTGATTTTAAGCAGTTCTAGTGCTTAACATGTTCATCACTTGAAATGTTTCTGTTGTTGTTTCCTGCCTCGGGACGACAGATGTAAATGAGCATTTTAGCTAACATATTTTCAATACATTTTGCGTTTTTTAAATTGATGGTTATTTGCATGCTCTGACTATCGAATAAAGAAATAAATAAAGTTAAGATCATCTTGATTTAGTATGTTGGCATTCCGACATTTGGAAATGTGCACCAAACACAAAGTAGAGCTGAAGCATGGGAATGCCATTAAATACAGTCAAAAAGTCAAAAAACACGATGAACTAGAAGTCAGGGGGTCACTAAAGTTTTGAGAACTAATTCCAAAATGGACATGAAAGCCTTTACTACATTTTACAGCATAGAATCCAATAGTTTGCGATACATTTGTGCCAAAACCACACAAAGGAAAGGAAAGTTAATGGGATGTTAAGTCTGCAGGCTCCATGGGGATCATGAATGTCTGTACAGAAGACAGACAGACATTGCCATTGCCATAAGCCATACTGCTAACATAGCTAAATGGCATATATGATATAAACCTCCCAAACTGTGAAACTATTATGTTATTAAACCACACACTCAACATAATATTTAATAGATACTGGTTGCTTATTTTATCCTAACAGTAGCAGCAGCTGTTGCTCATCTGACTCTCTTGCCTACTGACTGATACTCAGCCATCACAATTATAGTTTAGTTTTGAACTGAAAGGACCTCAGCATGGCACCTCTCTTTTTCCACAGAAGACAGCCTGCTAACTTGACTGTCACAGAAACACGGGCAGAGCCTTTTATGCATGCTGGACAGCCCATTCTTTTTTCTCAAGACTCATGTGTTATTAATTGTGGAGCGATTGTCTCAGTCTTGTTTTAGTGAGTGCAATGCTTCCTCTCGAGGGGTGGCTCAGGGATTAATATTTTAGACAGAAAAATAAATGAAATTACCCATCAGAGTCTGCAGCATGTCCCAGGGGACGGGGGCTAGCACTCAGGGTACTCTGGGTTCGCACTCAGCCAGCGGACAGTGAGCTCAAGACCAATCAAGCGAACAGAGGAGCATAGCAGATCACAGCCATTCACCACGCACACAGAGGCCAGCTAGACTGGAGGGATCGGGGCCTGAACAAAGAGCTCCCACTCTCCCTCTTTTCCCCCGTTCCTCTCATCCCTGAAACCAACCCCACCCTGTCCCTGTCCCAGTTTATTTCTGGTGCACCAGGGTGCAGCTAATGTACAGCGTAGCAGTGCGTGATCCTGGCCACTTGACAATAAAGTACCTGCTGCCTGGGGCAGAAGTCATCTCTGTCAATATTATGTTGTAAACACAACAGATATTTTCCATTTGCACTAGTTTAGGTGGTTAACAGGGAAATGGACCGACATACAAAAAGGTATGTAATCCAATTACAGTCTCTGCCACATGGAGTATTTTGCCAGACGGCCACTGTAAATAAGATTTTGTTCTTAATGACTTGCCTGGTTAAATAAAAAAACATTGGCAGTGTGAGTCAGGTACACAATAATTCACCCATATTTGCCCAGTTATATATTTGAATTAACATGCCATTTATGTTCCATTCTGTTTTTATATTATAAATAAAAATATATCAGTTAAAACAGTATGGATAAATGCAACATTTCAAAACCAGACATTGCAAATAGAAACTGTGATACCAATGACCTAATAGTAACAGTGCCCACATACAAGTTTCCCATATTTAATGAGCAAACACAACAAGGCATGTTTTTCCTGTTAAGACGTATAAGACTTACCGTATAGTCCTCGACTGGTAGATTTTCCAAGGAGTTCATAGTTCCCGATTGCAGATGCAAACTTTAAAAGATGATACAGAATAATATTCATGCTGTCTACAGACATCAGTTTCAGAAAATATCTAAAAAAGTTACCCCCTATGGCAACACGTGGGTGTTGTTATTTTCAAATATTAATAACCTAAATGTGTTTTGATATGTCAGATCCAGTTGTGCGTGATGACATGAACAACTACATCAGCCAATACTACAGTGAAGCTAGCAGTGGTAAGTGACAGTGAACATCAACTCATGCCACCCCATGTGAGTAAAGCAGTGAATACAAAGTCTTATTGATTGGTTATAGTGAAACAAAGCAATAGGTCAACGGACAATACTTCATGGTTCATGTGTTTGGATATAGATGTGGCTGAAATCTCAATGTAATAACTCAAAATGTACATTATCAGAATTTGTTTTATTCTTTACTTATGATGCATTTTGTATAGCCTAATGTTATTTAACAGTACAAATTAACATAAGTTCGCATTTAGCCAATATGAGGATAGAAAAAATCTGAGACGTTAACAGAGACAGCAGGATAATTATTTACATGTTTTAGAGTTTTGTTTGCATGACTGAAAAGAACATGTTATGCACTTCTTTAGACTAAAGTAAAAGGATAATTTGTTTAACGTTAGTTGTCCTGCTTTCTCTAAATGTACACAATGTTTTTCAAGATGCTGGAGCTTCTGGCCTCGGAGCTCGGGTCATCACCACGGCAGCCATTGACGTCCACCTCCCCACCAATCCAAATCCCATCCAGTCAAACCAGATGCTTGCCATGGAGCTGATGGGCAGCGCTGTGAGTGATGCCTCAACCAGCCTATCACGGTCCAGCGGCAGCCTGACGGCCCGCCCCCACAGCCTGAGCAGCCACATCCCGGGGTCCTCGATGACAGACTGCAGCCCAGCTCAGGAGCTCAGTCTGAGCTACAGCACCCATCGCTGCCCCGCCCCTCCCTGCTCAGGCAAGGACCCCTGCAGGGACCCCAGCATGGTAGTGCAGGAGCTGCTCTCCTCCCTCTCTGAGGACTCCTGCCTTGCTCAAAAGGGCCTGGTAGTGGACCCTGTCAACCTAAAGCTTCCCAGCCCTACTGGCTCAGAAAAGGCGAGTCCTGAGCTGGACAACAGAATAAACATCTTCAACCGCAGGAACCAGGAGGAGAGGCGGGGCCGGGGGGGGGGCTGCGTGCTGCTGCAGACCAAGCCGCTGATCCACCTGCAGGGCAGCGGCACGGAGCCGTCCCTGGAGGAGAAGTACCGGCTCCTGGGGCCCGCTGACACGCCTCTGGAGGGCATGCCTGATACATAAGCTACACAGAAACAGAAGTCTTTTCTTTTGCTGCCACCATGTTCGGCACATTTCTCAACTCTTGTTGTCACAGGTCAAATCTCGTGAGAGGTTGTGTAAATCCAATCTTAGCCAATCCAGAGCAAGCTTGAGCCTTAGCTTCAGGCTAACACTGATGCTTCTTAACGTGACGTGTTCAGAAGTCAATAGTAGAAATGACAATAAGAACTCTTAGGCCCTTTGCCATACGGTCCAACCTCCCCTGCTCCTCTTTGGTGGATTTTTGATACAAGAAATTCCCTGTTAAAGCACAACAAAGACTGAAACATCCTAGTAAGGGGAGCCGAATGTGTTCTTGGACACATTCTTCATCAGGAATTCTCACTCTGAAAAGGTCCTAAATGCACTGAACTTTACATGTATTAAAACCAGCAAGGGGCCATTCCAGCCTATACTGAACAAAAGCGTTATCTCTGAACCGTGTTGCAAACCAAGACACTGTTCTCTGTTCTTGGATTTCAAGCAGTTAAAAAAAAGTGTTTTTTATTCTTCTCTTTTATTTTGTCTTGTTTTTTTCCTTTCAATTGGTATGAACAACTTTAAACATCAATAATGCTGTTTCTTGTTTAAACAGCCACAGGGTACATAAGACTGGCTTAACTTTGCCTTTTTCTCACTTATTTGTTTGATTTGAAACCATGGACCATGATCCCAATTTATTGAATAGCATTTTTGTTTGACTTTTTGAAAAAAAACATGAGTAGGGTACATTTGTGTGGATGAAATGAAAAGGTAAGTGAGTGGATTCTTCACATGAAACTAGATTGGAGTGCTTGTAGCATGAACCTTTAAAAGATATGTGCCCTAAATGGCAAGCAAATTCTTTGCACTTTAATGTTTACAGACACTTTTGTAAACTTGATATGGAGGAAGTTATTGCCAAATGCAGGTGTTGTCATTTGAATGAAAATAGCAAAAATAAAAGTTAGTATTTCCTTAACTTCTTTATGTTTACTGACTTTAATACATTTGAAGCTGTATCAAACACGATAAAACCACTGAGTTGGCTCTAATCTAATTTCTTTCTATTCACAGGCTCCTTGTTACACACTGCACTGTACAACAGTATTTCATTAGCATCATCTCCCGTGCATTTGATTTAGAAAAGTCTGAATTATTTAAGGTTATTAACATTGGAAGATCCGTCAACTGCTAATTGGTCAAGTCATTGTAAGTGTGTCGTGAGAAGTATCAGCCCCCTCTAATTACCCCCATAATATCATTAATTCAGAAGATAAACTGCTGTACCATTTTGTTACATGTCAAAAGTATCTAGAGAATGTTTTAATTGTTAATAACTATTACTGCAACAATTAAGCGATCATCAAAAGTGTTTTTCAATTATGATAACTAAGTATTAATTTTCAGATCTGGTTGTGCGGATTGTTTTTAGCTGCCTAATTTAATCCGCAATTAACACAGTACATGCGGGACCAAGAGTACTCCCGCTGAGTAACTGATTTGAAGCCTCGACTCTGAATTCAAACGACTCTTATGGTAAGACTTAATCTGTATTCTATGGACCTGTGACCGGAAACAATACATCGCATCTTTTAAAAGTAGTTATTTTGCAGCCTAAATAACTCGTATCCTATATTCTGGCATTTCAGTTCCTATTATTTTATTGTCTAAGGAGGGTAGCAGATATATTATATTTTGTAGGGTGATTTGTTTGGAAACTTCTTTAAAGATGTGAAATGTACAGGTTTATACAATATGTGTTACATTGAAAGGAAGCAGCATACAGTACAGGCTTTGACATGTAAGAAAATAATAATGAACACACAGAACACCGACCGATCTTATGATGCTTAAGTGACATTAGCCCATGCCCATCATAGTTCACCCTGTAACAAGTAAATGCTGAAGGACAGCAGTCAATAGCTTTTTGTGTGAAGAGGCTGCATGCCGTATTATTTACAGTTAAACTTCAGCAGGCAACGTGTGAATATTTCTCTAAATGTTATTTTGGAATACAAGAGTCAGTTTTTAACTTGATATGAAGATGGATCAGTGACACAATAATTCACCTTAACCAGAAGCGATGCCCCAGTATTAGAAGGCCACGACATAAATAGCTTTTGAAGGCAACGGCATGGGTCCATTTTCTCAGTACTCTACTATCTAAAAAAAAAAGGTCAATTGGTGAAAACATTAGCCTCATTACAAAATGTTGAATAAGAGATTAAAGAATAAAAACCCTATGTATTACATCGAAACAATGAAGCAGGGCTTTTAATGCAACAGAATAATTACATGTAAAAGAGCCTTGCTATTTGGAAGCTCTATTCGTCAGTAATTTAAAAAAATGGTGATATTTAAACTAATAACTTCTTTAAAGTTTAAATAATCTCTGCCTGAAAAAATATATTATAATAATATTAATGTTCCACTGAATGAAAATACTGTAATTAGCAGAACAAATGTAGACGAATAAGGAAATAACAACCAATCAAAAGCAACGTGATGATGTAACATGGTGAAAACCATCTGATTCCTAATCAAAGAAAAGTGTTTTTATTGTATTCAGACGCCAACTGTGTTTTAGTTTTTTTTTTATAAAGCATGTAAGTTGGTATGCACCCTTCTCACTATAACTACACCCACCACATCAATCTTGTTTACAAAACCAACAATGCCTATCGCATGCCATGGAACAAGTAAATAAATAATGATATGCTTGGCTCTCGACACACACAAAGGAATCCGGTTGAATATGGGTGCCAAAGCTCGGCTCAGCCTCTATCTGTCACCGCGGCCTTGGTATTAATGTCACAAGGTGCTGTTCCTCTAACACTTCTAGATTAACCAGCCTTGTAATAGAAGGTTTTTTACGGTTCAACTTCCAGCTCCACACTGAGAAACACTGCCCAGCTAGGAAGCTCAATTATTTTTACACTTAAAACAGATAATAAATAAAAGGTGATGCCGAAAGCCCTTCCTCTACTACTAAAGGCCAAATGAAAGGTGTGGCTAAATCATTCATATGAACCCAATTTGTCAATACGTATCATTCCAGTTCAGACTGAGTCAAGTGTTCAATTTTGACAGGCAGGGACACTGAGCAGACCGTTAGGAGACGTGCTTAGAAGTAAATTGCTTTTGGGACGTCTCCAACTAATCGAGAGGTACAGTCCCTGTCACACTCACAGGAAGCTAAGTGAATTAACAGTGACCATTAGACTCTTAATAATTTAAATGTTTTAATAATGGCACAGAGGAAGTCACTTTAACTGCATTAACATTACATGATCATTGTTGATTTATTTACCGACTCTTTGGATAAGATAATGACCTCCTTCCTTGCTTACGATAAAGAGGAATAGGACCTCACTGAGTTAACCTTTAAACATTTGAAACCTTTTGTCCGAATGATGTTTTAATTCACAAATTTGAGAGCAAACAAGACATGAATTAAAATGTTTAGACAATTAGTTCCCACAAAGGACACTTTACTTTGGTGGGTCATATTATTTCTGTTAGGGCTGCAAAGATCAAAAAGACACCAAACATACATTTTAAATGCTGTTACCAATTAAATATGCTGGATTTGTATTATTATATAATCTGTGTACAAGTATATTTAAGCCATAAACATATTGGAAAGTAAACACTCAAAATCTTAAAAAAAGTGCTACATTTCTGCATTATTTCTAATATGTCTTAAATGCATGAGCTATGCTAAGTTACACTAAGTGGAGAGTGGGATGCATGACTATGGTGGTGAACGGTGTGCAGTGGATAAGTGTATTAGGTTTTAGACCCAGTTTAAAACCTCCAAAAGAACAGCTTTTCAAAGTTTTGTGAAAATCTACCTAATATTGCTTCCAATTCATTCTTCATAAAGTTGTTTCCAGTAGACCACATGTCCACAATCCCTACAGTGATTTATAGTTTCTAAAAAAAGTGAGTTTGCAAAACATACAGGACATGGAAAAGGAAAAAAATGTTTATCCATTTGGCAAATTTGGAAATGTGTTTAATAAGATTCATTTTTATTTGTTTTCGCTGCACATATACGTATTGATTTTCAAAGTACCTCCAAAAGCACTAACTGACTGTCATAGACTATTCGCATTGAGGAGTTCGTAGCGACCAAATCAGAGCCAAAAGGTGAGTTAAGGATGGACTCATATTCATTGACCTCTAAATTAATGGTTATTTTTGATAATATTGACGCCATATTGCTGATGGTATATTAATGTTGTCCAACACAAGTCCTTAATACGATTCAACATCATTTACATAGTCAGCTACTCGGAAGATGTGTGCATATGTGTCTTTGTTAATGGCCACAATTATGTGACAAAAGGATTGCGAAGAAATTGAACAGTACAGCCCAGAATATGTGTACTATGTAGGATGTAAACTATAATAACGATGAGATATCAAATTAACATACATGAAATGTTTTCAATGGCTGTCTGAGAGGCATCTACCTATTAGACCTTAGTGGTTCTGTTTAAGAATGTGATTTGTATTTAAGTGAATGGAAGAGATTTGAACCGCCGTCTTACGGCACAGAGCAGCTGGGTATATGTTTAAAGAGTTCATTCTCATTGAGAACAAACAGATGTGGGGAGTTTGACTGCATTACCGCTGCGGTCTGACAGATTCAGAACACGCCTCACACAGAACCCTCTTTCCAGAGGCTCTGAAGCAGGAGAAAAATACAAATAAATTATACATCGTTCTTTAAAAAGCTTCTCAGGTTCTCTTTTAGAAACATATTTCTTAAGTGCACAGGATCCAGAGGTTCGCTTGGTGGAAGAAATCTACTCGGGAGACTGTTGTCATGGCTACAGCAGATTTATTTTGCATAAAAACGTTTCCTTTCGGTACCCAACCCTAGTAGTTGTGTTACGCTACCTCGGATAAAGTGGGTCAAACTAGAAGTGGAAACAAAACCCACTAAGTGACCAGGCTCAATCACTTCACTTCTCTTGAGATATTAATTAATTATTAAATCAGTTTTTAGTAAATGTAAATCAGATTTCTAATTTGCTGATGAACAGAAGACAAATGCACAGAAAGAAATAAAGCTAGAAACTTAAATTGAGTCTGATTTGCATCATGTTAAGTTTCTTTTTTCAAAGTCTTTTCTAAGCAAAATAACCTTGATGATTTCTCTTGTTGCTCCTGCACAGCAATCAGAGGAATATAGTACGCTAAGTTGGTCATGTGATAAACATGAGAACACAATTGAGAAAGTCTTCTGGGAGAAGGGACGCTACATCACTCTGTGCTCCAAACAACCGAATAAAATAATATACAGAACATCAAAATTAATTCAGCAATCCAACGTGTATGTATGTTATGCATGACCAGCTCCAGGAAGGGTAAATTAGCAAACATTGTGTAAAAAGCTTAACTCATCAGGGAAATGGCTGCCACAGATTCTACATTTCTCTAAAGCTAATTGACGCTGCATACATGTTCATATTCAATGTCTTGCTTCAGCAACAAACGCAAAAAAATCCTGATTAGACCGGGAGATGTAAGTGCAGTGAAAATGAATAATTTAAACATCTACAAATAATTACGGTTTATCTCAAACTCAGACTGACATAGTTTGTTTTTCCTTTGAAACATAAGCTTTCTGAATTAAATAAGAATGTTGGTTGAGTCTTGTGAAAAGCTTATGCTATATGCATAGTGGAATCCACTGCATGAAAATTAACCTAAGAACAAATAAAATACAGTGTTTAGAATTGAAGACACATTTTACTGCCAGTTTAATGTGATCTGACCTCAAATATTAAATATACCAACTCCAATTACTGTCTCCTGCATTATGATAAAAATACATTTAATGATGGTTGTTAGGGAATAATTTGCTTAGGTATTCAACCTTCGACAAAGTTCATCATTTTCTCCTCTCACTGTCTCCTTTCTCATGGCATAGGTCTACGGCCTTGGGTATTGCTGCTATCTCTCTTAAGGAGGAAC